CTGTACTTCTTCCCTGTCTGTAACAGAATTTCACTGCTTTATAAAGCAAACTAACCTTCAAGAGATTGGTCTAGATTTTGATAAATAAGCACAAGGAGTAAAATCAAACTAAGGAAGGATGATTAAATAATTACCCACATCCTATACATTTCTGTACTAGAAACTAATTAAATAAATTAATTACATAGCTGGTTGGGTCATAACCCAAAGAGACAAGAAAAAAAAAATGTTTCTTTTGACTGTCTTCATTTTTTTGATGGACAACATTTATTAACCTCTTTCAATAGCCTAAATGAAAGTAAAGCAGGAAATTATAACCTCTAAAACTTATGCTCAGAAAGACCATTTAGATGTGACAAGCATGGAAAAATAATCACCACTTCCCCCTCTCTCGCTAGTGCAGCCCCCACAATACCACGTCACCATTGTCTCAACCCTGGGAACCAGAGTCCGCTTTTTCCCTATTAGTTTGCGCTTTCTTTTGCTATTTTTTCCTTCTTTTTCTTTGTTTTATTCTCTTTGTCCCTTTTCAGGTCTTTGGATTTAGCTTTAGTTATGAGAGATCCAGAATAAAGCTATTCAACCGAAGTAATCAAGCATATGTATCATTCTTACACAGATGATCAAATAACATCCAAGGTTTCTTGAAAGTTGAGTTTATCTTGGATGTGCCCAAATGAAGGTAACTCCAAGTGCACACAAGGAAGATGTTGGGATACTTTTTCTCCCCCTGAACTTGAGTTTTACGTGTTACAATAAATAATGAAAACAATGTACATTGTAGATGTACTACATGCATGTTAAATGATCATTTAAAATTTATTTATTGTAACAGATGACAGTAGATGTGTATGGAGATGTCTGTGCGCACATATCTGTGCACAGTCTAGACACGCATAGGTAATGTGTGTGGCTATAAGGACATCATGAGAATACAAGTCAGAAGATGTATCTAAACCTGCATACATCCAAGCTGACAGACTGTGTGAACTTGAGGCAAACATATCTACCAAGGTTTATGCTATTTGAAATGTCTGCTAATAAAGATGGGGCAGGGTGGAAGACTTCCATGGGATGACCAAACTCGTGGCAATGTGTTTTTTCCTATACACATTATCTCAACTAAAAAGGTATTAGCTGGCTAATTCCAGTCGGCAAACTCAAACACCTGTAAGGAAAGCTCGGGCTCCAGTTTTAACTTGCCCAAGACTGTCAGTCATTTTGGTATCTGAGAACAATGAGTATTTCTGGTCCTGTGGGATTCATGCAATTGCCCATCAGCCTCCTTTAAAAGCTTTGTGTCTACCTACGTGAAGCCGTATTTAATTTTAATAATTGTTTTTGTATTTTATAACGCATTCTGAGACTTCCTAAAACAAATAAACAAACCCTCTCTTTCTCCTGCCCCTGGAAAGAAAAATATCAAGGGTATTTTTGAAAAGAAAATTGGCATTGGGACATCCATATTTAAAGCCAATGTCATTAACTTCTGAGATTCTTACAAATCAGGTGCCCCTTCTTCCTTTAGTAAGAATTTTGTAAGCTTCTCGATAACTAGGATCTCCTGCTCTTTTACTGTGACTTGGTCTTAGTG